AGTCTCATATCCTTTTATATGTTGATCCTTAATTAATTGATAAATATCAGGAACATTTTGTCGACTATAAGTGTTGATATAATCTTTAATTTCATTTGTTACGTTGAATTTTTCAGGTCGTGGATGCAAAAGATCATGAGATATATTAACAATTATAATATTGTTTTTGAAATTAATTTTAATAGTAATTATACCCTTACAATTATAACGTTCAATGTATGCTTCAGTACTACGTTGCCTTGATTTGTCACTAACTTTCTTATAATGCTTATGTAGCTCATTTCGAGCATTGCACCAATACGTATATTTTACAAAGTCCTGTTTTTTACTATTATAGGTTGATTGATGTACATATGAATAGCCATCGCCATTACTAATTTCATTAATAACTAGGTTGGCAATGCTCAAGTTTTTGTCCTGCTCAGTGTCAACAAGAGTTTCATCAATCGATTCTGAATTAATGTTAAATTCAAGTTGAAATCTCGTTTGTCCTTCGAAATCATCATCCACATCTTTATTGCTTAAGAGTGAATTATAGATATGATCCGTAATATTTAAGAGATCAACAACGTTTTCCTTTTCCATCATACAATTGTCGATTTCTTGCCTTTTTCGTTTTTTTGCTTGTGATTTACTATTACGGCAAGTTTTGCAACCAGAATAAACGTCTTTATCACCAAGAAAGTCTAAAAGTGGTCTGTCGCAATTGCATCTTGTACATTTTTTTGTTTCGACTAAAGCGCTATTAATTGTTTTTTCCATTGCGCAAGTAAATGTTAAGAAAGAAAAAAATTTGTACGATATCATAAATAAAGACAATTAGTAATTAGCTCAAAACTTTATGGATGACTTACGATCATGATTGAAATCATGATACGCAACAATCCGGATCGGAACATCACGTGACTGCCCCTCGATTGTTGGTTATGCTGGTGCTTTTACGTTGTACGTTGTACAAACTCCGTTCCTGGTATTCTTTATACAAGATAACGCACAAGCTATTATAGACTTTATAATCAATGATGCACTAACTACTATAGAGTATTTCTATGATATATGTATTACAAATAAACTATACATGTATAAAATCACTGATCTACCCGATTAATGTTTATTACCCTGATCATCACAGGTACCACGTACTCACGTGACCTTACGACCAAAATTCGAACCTTCATAACCAAGCATTCCTCAAATATAATATACTGGAGTTTGATCGTTACTGTGATAGTAGCTAGACTCTCTATAATTTTGGTTTTCGAAGTCACCATCTTGCTAATTTATCCATTCCGGTCTTTGCTTTAACCTTTTTACTCGATTCCTTGTAAAAGGATCTACTAACTCACTTCCATCCAGTTCGTTCAAATATAGGTGACTATTCCTTTCAATTCTTCGTAAACGTACAGACCAATCTATCTATAATTTAGTTTCCAAGGCAAATTATCCAATGTTGAATCATAAACAAGCACAAAATCACCAACTTCGATCTTTTCTTTATGCATATTTGTATGATAATTATAAAATCTTTTCTATTGCTCTCGAAGCTTATCCTGATTCACTCTTGCTTGTTTCAATTCACGTACTAATTCTTCCATCTGTTCTGTTCTAAAAGCCAATAATTCATCAGTGGTCCAAGTTTTCTTAGTCATGAAAACTTGATAGCTTTCAAGAATCAACTCGATTGGGCTATAGCATCACGACTATATACAAGTCTAAAAGGTGAGTAACCCAAGTCTCCTACAGTGATATTAAGGATCCAAATAGCAGCACGCAAGTGCTTATACTAGTAGTTTTGTGCTTGCGTACTAACCTTTCTTAAAACACAAGTAAGCTTTTGCACTGTTTGTTTAGCTCTGCTATTAGCTTCCGGATGGTAACTGGCTGTAAATTGTTGTTTTACTTGTAATCATGCAGTCAACTCTTCCATTATTTTGTTTTTAAATTCTGTGCCTCTGTTAGAGGTTAGCTCAGCAAAAATCCATGCCGGGTGATTACCTCATCTCATATAAATGTAGCGATCACCTTTGCATTTTTATTTCTTAGCACGCGTGCTTCAATATATCCAGTCAGATCTTTAATAGCAACAACTATATGTTCGTGACCAGCTGAAGTTCTGGATAAAGGCCTGATACAATCAATATAAAATCGATGAAAAATCCAACTCATAGCAGTCACGTGGATAGGCTCAGGTAGTTTTTTTCAACACATCTCTGACAAATTTGACATGATCCTACATAATTTTTCACATCCTTATAGATGCTTCCATTACCCTACACATAATTCAGCAGGATTTTTCTTACTGTGCCATTCACTCCATGGTGGCTGTCTTCTTTGGCAAGTCCTTTGTGGTTGGCCTTTATTATCTTGGCCTTTTCACTTTCTTTTACTATTACTCTACACAGGGGTTTTCCATCAATAGCTCTTCTGAATAACTGTTTACCTATAATACAATGTTTTTTTAATTTGCTTTGAAGTCTGGACATGTGCTCCCTTTTCATATCATGTAGCTATTGTAAATTTTCTAAGTAAAATTTAACCATCTCCAAGTCTTCCACATATTAATCGATCTCACTACTGACACTTAACAATAATCAATCCATGAAATCTTTATCTGTAGATCAGTTTTTTGATGTTGCAAGATCATGATACTGTGACAAACCATCAGCATGTCCATGCTTTTTTCCTGGCTTGTAATGCACCTTAAAATCAAACGCTTGCAAGGTAATTACCTACCGTATTAAATATCTTTTTAATTGGGCCTTATTGAACAATTATTCCAAGGCTTGATGGTCGACCCATATGTCAAACATGGTCCCACCCACATACCTTTCACACACATTGCAGCCAAAAACTATACCCAAACATTCTTTTCCATCACAGTATAGTTTGACTCATATGGATTTAACTTTCGTGATTCAAATGTTACAGAATGAAGCCTTTGCTGATCATCTTCTTGTTCAAGAACAACTCCAACGCAAAATTACATGCATCTGTACTCATCTAATAAGGTTGATACCCACTCTTGGCATCTTGCCAATTTGGTCCTTTTAGTATCACATCATCCATCATTTTCTCTTTCAACAATTGGAACACCTTATTTTGCCCTTTGTCCATTTAAAGCTAATGTTATTTTTGGTTAATTCGGTAAGTGGTTTAGCGATTGTATTAAAATTCTTTATATGTCAACGGTAATAGTTTATAGTGCCTAAAAAAGCACGAACCTCTTGAACATTTTTTGGAATTCTCTATTCACCAATTTTTTTCATTTGATTTGGGTCAGGTATTATACACCATTTTCTGATGATAAATTCTTACATGCTCAACTCTTTATAGAGAAGACAACACTTTTTGCGGTGAAGGTAAGGTCGACATTATTGAAAGTTTTTGCAAGTTTGATGAACATACCGATATGCTCCTCTATTGTGTACCGGGTCCAGAGCCTGACATCATCCTGATAAGCAGCAGCCGTATATCTCTACTCTTCTTCTTTGAGCAATACATCTATCAATTGCTAAAAAGTCTTACTAGCATTCTTAAGCTCTATATATATGACAGTATACCGCAGTACACCAAGAGGAGTAGTGACAGCTACCTTGTCTTTGTTCTCTTCACGAATCTTTATTTGCCAATAGTCTTTATAAACATCCACACTGGAATACTAGTCGTGACCCACAGCTTTCTTCAAAATATCACGTATGATAGGCAAGGAGTAGCTATCTTTTATTATATATTTGTTTAGTGGCCTCATGTTCCCAACTACTCTCAATTTATTGGTACCTCTTTCCTTTTTCTTGACCAGAAAACAATAATAACATTTCTTTCTCCAAAAATCTATACTTTAATATATTCTTTAGTTGTTCTTTAAACATACGTGTATATTCTGAATTGTTAATTCGTATTGGATGTATTCTGATAGGTGGAAGTTCTTTTCCCCTGGTTCTTATTTCATACCGAATTAAATCAGTTTTTTCGATTTTGGACAAGTTAAATGCAAATACATCGGGCGTTTCTTTTATTAATTTTTCTTGTATCTATTTTCTTTATTCTGCAGAGATGGATTCTCTAAAGTTTAGCTCATGACAGTTTTCTTCTGTTAACCTCATTACAATATCAGGTTCTGATACTTTTATTATACCATTTTCTTGTTCATGCTCATATGACCAATAGATCACCTGTCCAACGTAATGTTTTTTCTCCAACTCCTGCAAATCTATAGATTCGACCTCTTTCACAATGACTCGATTTGAATTGTTGGCTCCTTTAATAATTTTTCTAATTGACCACCCTTATACATATTTTTCTTGTAGCAATCGGCTTCTTCTACAGTCAGACCTCCCTATAATCACCAAGTCCATCGTGCCCTATTTTGGTGATTGTATAGAGGTGTGACTATAAACAAATATCAAATTAATATCACATGATCTTCAGCCAATCAATGATTAATTGATAATTTATTAGTTATAATCGTCCTACATCTAAAAGTTTTTTTTTTGTACTAAGTTAACCACCTTTGAGTCTCTAAGTAAAATTGTAGAGCTTATTAAGACGAATCTAATGATAGTTAAATCATCAAAATTGGCCTAGTGGTTACTGAGATATCTTCAAAAAACCTTTTGCTGATTATATAATTTTTTTGTAAGTAATATAAAGAATTTTTCTATAGTCAGCAAAAAGTTTTTCAGCATCTACTAGGTTGATTTTAATAATTTAACTATTATTAAATTTGTTTTAATAAGCTCTACAACTTTACTTAGAGACTCAAAGATAATTAACTTAGTCAAAAAGTCTTTTAATTAATAAATTAGTGATTATAAAGAGGTTTTTTATTAATAAATTTGACTTAAAAATTGGATTTTAAGGTGGTAGTAATTATAAGTGATTTGTAACTATAATGAGGTTTTTTTATTATATTTTAAGTTTATCACACAAAATTGGGTACTTATATAGAGTTGTGACTATATGGATGTGATTATAGGAAGGTCTGACTGTATTTCAACTCTTCACATGGTCATAATATCCTCATGGTCTTCTTTACTATCATCATTATTATTACATTTTGAAATATCAATCCATCCTTTAGGATCTATTGATGCCACAAATGAAGATTTTTTGTAGTTAGAACCTATGGAGCACCATAATTTGTTGTCTTTCTACTTTAGATTACATTTTGCTATAGCAAGCCAAGGCATACCAATAAAATCTCAAACTCACTGCTTTCATTATGTAGAACTCCTGAAAAACTCTGACACCCTCCATTACTACCTCAACATTGGGGATATATCTTACAAATTCACTTAATTGGTCATCAACTATATGGCCTTTGCTTGTCACAGGTTTCTAAGATAGTCTCTTTTGTTTGGCAAATGATTTATGCATAAGATTCAATTAGGAATTGAAGTCAATAGGTATTTCAACTACCTCACTATTCACTTTTGCTATTTCTACAGGTACATTTCCTATTTTTAGACTTGCATCTGTTTGAATTTCTCATATAATCCTAATTTTGATGTTTACTACTATCACATTCTGCTCCTTTTTCTTTCTTGTTAGTACTTTCAAGATCTCAGTTCTTGTCTTTGGAGACTATTTAAATAAATGGCCTAAGTGTAATCGAAAATTCAAGTGATGCTATAGTTTTTAAAATATCTAATTCATATGTTAGTTCTGAGATAGAGATATACATTACTGATCCACTTTTATATAATTCAACTTCTTTAAGTATACTAATGTAAGTACTTTTCTGAGCCCAAGGTGGCATTTCATGTTCATCTTTCATGCATCTCCTTTCCCAAGATTTCTTACATCAAATAATGTTTTTTCTTCTTCAATTTTAATTATCAAGTACTTATTACATTCACTTTTGTCACTTCAGTTATTTCAAAATATCATATATTTACATCTCCAACTTCAGGATTTGCAGATTTATTCCTTCTTGGTTCATTTCTCAGATTACCAAATTGTGGTTGCAAAACTCTAGAAGGGCAATTTCTAGAAATATGCCCTTTCTGATTATATTCATAATATCTACAGGGCCTGTTGGCCTGATTAGAATTACTGACTTCTTGATTTTATTTCATATTGGGTTTTTGATTATGATGGGTATTTAGTGGCTCATTATCTTTAAGCTTTATTATAGCTTTCATCAGTTCTTTGATGCTTGATTCTATTTTATTTATTTGTTCGTCTTAACCTGGATTTTGATCCACTTGACATATTTTCATAGCACCAAAAGCTGAAGTAAGATTGTTCATATCTAATCTTGTTCTGTTTAGTTCTCAAGATATATCTTTAGAAGGGTATTTCACCATATACTTATTATCTTTGTTGTATTTTCCATCTTTAGAACCTATTTTTTGGTATTATCATATGTTTCAGGATATTATATTTCTAGTTTTCTCTAAATGGTTGTTGTAGGCCCTGTATGTACTATTGTCATTTCTTAATATTTCTCACATCATTTTTTATTGGTTCTACACAAGCATCAAACTGGTTGGTGTATGCTTTAATGGTATCATTCGGCTTTTGTTTAATATTTTTTAGTTGTTCTAATTTTTCTTCTTTGTCACAAAAGATGTTTGAGCACCTTTGATAATTGCAGTTTTCAGGTTGGTCCATGTTGTGTTAGTTCTTATTTGTTCACAGATCCAAGGTTTTAGATTGTCAGTCACATGGAGCATAATTACTTGTATTTCTTGTCATCATCCCAATCCTTCGATTCACTATATACTTCATAGTCTTCAAGAAACTCTTTGATGTCCTCATTGTCGTAGCCATGATATATGAGTTTTGTTGAATCTGAGTCTCCTATGTTGCCAAAGATATGTGTTATCTTATTACGCTGGCCTATAATTTGTTGTTGAGTATTAAGTTAAAAGCTTTAATTAAAAAAAATTTTTTTTTTTATTTGTTATTTAGTAGAAGCTGAATTCAGGTTGTGCTAATATATTTCAAGTTTAATAGAAGAGAGCTTTAGTTATACCCAGGTTCTTTCTTGTTATAGATGCTAACAAAAGCTGAGATTTGGCTTTTGTAATCTAGCTCTATATATAACAATTTCGGGTCCTTTCTACATTCACACAGTATCAAGAAGCACTTTACTTCATCTCTAATTCACCTTCAATACCTTTACTGTGACTTCACAAACAACTCAGGTAATAGGGAATATAAGATCAAGCGAACAGATATTTTTTTTTTTATTTATTTGTGTCAAGAAAAAAGAGCATGAGGACTTACTAATCCTTTTAATCTGTTTATTTAGGTTTTACTTTTATTAGACTACAAATCGATTACTACATTCTTTATGCAAGATAACATACAAGCTATTATAGACTTTATAATCAATGATGCACTAACTACTATAGAGTATTCCTATGATATACATATTACAAATAAACTATACATGCATAAAATCACTGATCTACCTGATTAATGTTTATTATTCTGATCATCACAGGTACTATGTGCTCACGTGATCTTATAACCAAAATTTGAACCTTTATACCAAACATTCCTTGAATATAATATACTAGGTTTGATTATCACCATGACAATAGTTTTATAGATACTATTATTATTTAAAGTATTTGCTTAAATAATTTATATTTTATATAGTGTAATTTAGATTATATCAAATTGTATCAAATATTAAATTAAATATTTAAGAAATTCTATTTCTTATAATTACTAATTTATTAATTAATAATTTATTAATTAATTGAGAGTAATTTTAGTACAGTGCCAGACAAAGTTTTTCTGCATCTATATCTGCTTACAAAGAAGTCTACAGCCTTAAAACTTTTCAAAAATTTAGTAAATAGTTTGCTTAGGTTGTATATTTTTTTTTGTAATTTTTTAATCACTAGAAAAAATTTTAGATAAGAGCTAAAGTTTCAAATAATTTTTTTTACAAAAAATTAAAAAATTAATTGAGTTCAATTAAAAATTAATAAAAAATTAAAATTATATTTAAAAATTCTAAATATTAGTATATTAAATTCAATAATTTGACTCAATTTAATGAGATAGTTATTGAGAAACTAATTTTTAAAGTTTAAATTTTATTGTTATCTCAATCTGTTTAAAAAAAATCAATGTGAACAAGTTTTTATTAATTTTACTATGTAATTTATTGTAAATTATATAGTAAAATTAATAAAACCTATTCACGCTAATTTTTTGAACAAATTGAGATAACAATAAAATTTAAACTTTAAAAATTAATTTCTCAATAACTATCTCATTAAATTGAGTCAAATTTTTTGTAACTACTATAAAAATCATTAAATTTAATATACTAAATATTTAAAATTTTTAAATATGATCCTGATTTTTTATTAATTTTTAATTCAACCCAATTAATTTTTTAATTTTTTGTAAAAAAAATTATTCAAAATTTAGCTCTCATCTAAATTTTTTTCTAGTGATTGAAAAATTACAAAAAAAATATACAATCTAAGCTAACTATTTACTAAATTTTGAAAAGTTTCAAGACTGTAGACCTCTCTGTAAACAGATATAGGTGCAGAGAAACTTGTATCTAGCACTGTATAATAAACATATATAATATATAAAAATTAAGGTTCAAAATATTAAACAATAATACTAAATCAAATCTGTAGTATTAAACCAGTTATATATATATGCTGTGTAATATAAAGATTATTATTAAAACAAATAAACAAAAAATTAAAAAAACAATTTAAAATTTAGCTTATATTAGGATTAGGATTATAGCTAAAATTGAAAAGAAAGATTAATATATAGCAAAATTATGCAAGAAATTTTTTATTAAAATACAAAAGATAGTTTTATAAGCAAAATTTTAAGTTATTAATAGTTTTTTAAAAAAACAACAAAGATTGTTTTGATTTTTATATTACACCTAATCTTGACATTACACTACAGAGTATTGGTCAAAATTGATATAGTGTTAATACTACTAGTGTAATTTAGTAAAACTAATATTAAATATTTATATTTAACATAATAAGTTAATTACTTTTAAGCCTCTAAATAAAGTTATAGAGCTTATTAAGATAAATCTAATAGTAGTTAAATTATTAAAATCAGTATAATATATTACAAAATATCTTTAAAAAACTTTGTAACTATATAAAATTTTATATAAATAATAATATTGTTTATATAAGATTTTATATAGTTAGTAAAAAGTTTTTAAAGATATTTGGTAACAATTATTATAAAATACATATTTTTTTTTTTTTTATTTCAGCGATCCTACTTTTATTTTATATATCAGCAGTAAATTATAGCAAAAATTTGGTTGATATCTAACCATTAATTACTATATGTCTATCTAAATAAAAATTCTCTTGATCTGTCTTATTAGAGTATGATCAAGGAGCGACTTGTTTAAGTGAACAATTTTTCTTCTTCTAGGATCTTCAACTTTCTGAGAATATATACTCTAGATATCAAAAGATGGTTTTCACTAACCTTGTCAGAATCACTGCTTACAATAGAATATACCAATCTGATAACACTTTCTTATAGAAAAGTAAAAGAAAAAAAAGAGGAATAAGAGAAATAAAAAAGTGGTAAGATATAAACAAATGTATAAAAAAATTGACCAAAATATAAAGGAGTCTAAAAACTATTCTAAAATTTATAAAAACCTATCTTCAGATATAAAACCTGCTAACTAGGTAAAAACTATCTACATGATTATAGAAATCTATACATAGAGCTATCTAACAAAAAATAAACAAAAAAAAGAACTATATACTAAAATATACTTTAATTTGTGCTAAGAGTTAAAAATTATATACATATATTTCAGAATAAGCATATTTCTATATTATCACTCTAGTTCACAACTCTTTATTAAATTCATTTTGAATTTTAGAACATCCAATTTTAAAACCTCGATTACATGATCATTGATTTTAACATCTCCTTCACTTTAAGCTAACTCTAATTACTATCAATTTTGCTACTTATAGTTCTTCACTTCAAATGTGCTCCTCAATATTTTAGATTAACAGGATTGGTCCTTTTGATTACTGTCTTCAGAAGCACTTTCTCAGTATATTCTAAACAGAAAACTACTTGATAGCAACATTTGATTTAATATAGTACACGCTATTTATCTCTTTTCGATCTAGATATTTATTAGAACTTCCTCCTCATATGTGATTTGTTTTGTTCCCCAATTGTTATATTAAAACTTGTGACTTGCTAAGAATAGAAGTAATAAATATTGTTGATCTTTTAGAAAAGATAAGCCAAATCTTCACTTTTTGTCAAAAAAGAAAACAATGAAAAAATAATCATAGTTTTGCGAGTTTCTAACCAGAGAGTGTTATCTTAAAAGTTCTTCATAATTTTCTGTCTCTAAACAAACTTGAGTTTACTTTCTACTTACTGTTCTTAGAGACTTCTCTGATTTGGATACTGAATGCAAAGGGGAGTTCACCCAAGACAAAAAACAAGCTTAACCTTTTTGCAAACAGTCTATATTATATTTTTTAAAATTTTCTAAATTTTATAAGTTGGTATATAAAATTTTTAATATTAATTTTTTATGTTAAAGTTAATTTTAAAATTAGAATTAGGGTTTGAAAAGGGTTTTTGGATGTAGAGCATTTTTACTTAGAAAACTTTATATCAATTAATTAACTAGTTTTTGAGATAATATATATATAGATATAAAACACCATTGGTATATTTTAGTAAAATTTATTTATAATATACCAGATTGATTTTGATAATTTATTCACTATTAGATTCAAAAAAAAACTTTTAAAGATAGAATATTAATCATATTTTATTAAGATTATCACTAACAAATTATCAATTAATTATTAATTAGCTAAAGATTATATATAATATTAATCAATATTTGGGTAAGTTAATAAAAATTAAGCAAATTTTTTATAATAAATTTTTTTATAACTTCAAACAAGAATAACTTAACAAAAATTTAACTAAATCTTTTTAAATAATTTTTATAAATTTGTAAGATTAATTTAAAAATTTTTTATTAAATTTGATTAAGTTTTTGTTAAATTATTCTTGTTTAAAATTTTAAAAAACTTATTAAAAAACTTATTAAAAAATATTGATTAGTTTTTTATTAACTTAACTTCATTTGTTTATAGTTATATTTCTATTTAATTACTATATTAGAATATAACTAACTTGGCGATTATATAGAGATTTTACTATAATTAAATTAAATAATTTTTAGAATTTATAATATAAATTAAATTTTTTTAAAATATTATTAATA